GTCTCTGTCCTCTGTCTTTCCCCAGTGCTCGCCTGGCCCGTCTCATTGTGCCCTGGCCCTCAGCGGTGCCTCGGTGTCTGCTCCCGCTCCACCTGCCAGCCTCTCCCGAGGGGCAGCTGCCACCCCCTGCTTATTTTTCCTCCAGTTTCCGCCCCCACCTTCCACCATGTTGTCACTCCCTCATCCTGACGCGGACCCTGGGGTTACCCCTTGCAGGTGCCCGCACCCCTCCGTGTATCAGTCTTCTCTGGTTTGGATTCCCTCATTTCATGTCATCGCTGTGCTTATTTTTATGTTATCCCGTTCTAGCTCACCTCTGTGTCCTGCAGCATGGCCTACGTGTGCTATCCCACACCTTGTTTCATTTTCAGTGCCACAGCTTCCATCGTTGTGCTTCAAGCTATTGTGACAGAACATACCCCACTTCAGAACCACCTCAATCCATTAGTGTTATTGAGAATCTGTTTTTTCATTTGCATCTGTTTTTTTCGCTGCTGTGCCTTTCTCCTTCCTGATGTATGTTTTCTTAACCTTTTCTCAGCCTTTCCTAGCTGTAATTCATTTTATACAGCTACTCTCTGGGATGCTTCTTTTTATTCTGAAAGAACAAAGGAACTATTTGTTTGTAACAGAGAGTTTCTAGTAGCAGGCAAGATGTGCAACTGCTATTTCTAACCACATGTTTGCATACTAGAGGGATGTAGGAGCACACCTGACAGCATGCATTCGAGGAAAGTTTTATGTCCATTTATCTGGCAAATGAATAGACTCTAGTGACTGACATGTTGAAGCTGCAGTGGAAATACTAATTGCAGTGCTGTAGCTCACTGTAACTGAGAAGTTCTTCAGACTTTTGTGTTATTGGGAACTTCAGCTTCATGTGTTACAATTATGAAGTGTGTTGCTTGCAAATCCATCCAATTGGGTGAAATGCCCATGTAAGAGTATGGATAATGCTAGACCCTTAATAGTTTATATCTGTGAATGCAATATGAAGAATACTGCTGAAGGAATGTGTTGTATTGTATTTTTTGCGTTACAGTTTCTGCCATATTTAGGGGTATATGAAACTAACGAAAAATTATCCCTTTGTGAACAGTTTGGTAACTAAACCACTGCATTTAATGTAGTTGCAGCAAAAGAGAAAGGGTTAACAAGCGGGGAAAATGAGATCTCCTCTACAACATTGCTAAAAGAACGTTTAGGAGGTTTGAAGATGACTTTCCAGCCTTAATGGGGCACATTCCTTGTGTAGTGTTCTCATGTTATTTTTCTCTCCCTAGAATGCCTAAGTCAAAGGAACTTGTATCTTCAAGCTCATCTGCGAGTGACTCAGATAGCGAAGTTGACAAAAAGGTGAACATTGTATGCAGTTTGTTATTACTGTATTAACTGTTCTATTTCAGGCCGGGGTTAAGGATTTAGGTGAGCATTATGTCACAACGTGCATGTCATGCTGTGCAATTTATCAGACACTTAAACCCAAAACACTCCCACCCAGCCCTGCCAACAACTACAACAGAAAAAATCCACCTCCCAGGATTAGGGTTTTGATGGATAGGATGCTTTTTGCCTTGCTGTAAACTTTTCTTTTTAAGTTGTGTTTTGCTCGCTTCAGTGTTTTCTGTTTGATGTATCTAACCACAAACTTCTTAGAATTCTTTGCTGCTTTGTGGCAAGTGATAGAAAAAGCCTTCTGTATAAGCTGCCCTGGTGGCAAGAATTAGGACTAATTTTGAGGATAAACACTCCCTGCTCCCCACCCCCAACTTTGGTATCTGGATTACTTATCTGAACCAGAAAACCTTCACTTGTTCTGTCCTCTGTGTGCAACTTGCTTATCTTATTTGTATGGTTTTTTTTCTCCTGTATCAGATACGTTTAATACCATCTGCTAGTTTCTCAGTTAAAAGCTGAGCCAACCTGAATGTCTTTCAGTTGATTCATTTTAACATAGGTTGACTTTTTAAATGTATAAATTGAGTGTTCCCATTTGTTTTTAATATTTAATTTATAAGTTTGTGTAGCTATACCGGTCATTATGAACAAACCTAGAAAAAACCCCAGTGAATTTATCTTTTTAAGAAATGCTAGATGGTAAAGCAGACATAAAATATTTTAATGTAATATGTGAAGAGACTTGGTCTGCTTTACTGAACTGGTTCAAATGTGACTTGGTTGCACTTGACAAAGTTAGTGTTCTGTCACATCTTTATATAAAAGAAATCACTCAGGTGACTTTTTTTTGTTATGGAACTCTGTTCCTGATGGCCAGCATGGTTTCAGTGAGGGCAAACTGTGCCTGACAAATTTGGTAGCCTTCTGTGATGGGGCTACAACTACCTGGACTTGTGCACAGCATTTGAAACTGTCCCACACAACATCCTTCACTCTGGTTGGAGAGACAGGTATTTGATAGATGGACCACTTGGTAGGTAAGAGGTTCGCTGGGTGATTACACTCAGATTGTTGTGAATGTTTCCGTGACCAATGGGAGATCCATGATGGGTGGTGTTCCTCAGGGATCAGAATTGAGACTGGTGCTGTTTAACATCTCTGTTGGTGACATGGACAGTGGGATTGAGTGCACTCCCAGGAATTTTGCACAAAGCTGTGTGATGTAGTTGACACGCTGGAGGGAAGGGATGGCACACAGAGGGACCTGGGCAGGTTTGAGAGGTAGGCCCAGGCCAACCTAATGAAGTCCAGCAAGGCCAAGTGTAAGGTCCTGCACCTGGGTCAGGGCAATCCTGAGCACAGATACAGGCAAGGTGACAAGTAGATTGAGAGCAGCCCTGCAGAGAAGGATTTGGGAGTGCTGAGGGATGAAAAACTGAGTATGAGCTGGCATTGTGTGCTTGCAGCCCAGAAAGCCGATCGCATCCTGGGCTGCAATGGCCAGCAGGGTAAGGGAGGTGATTCTGCCCCTCTGCTCTGATGAGACCCCACCTGCAGTGCTATGTTCAGCTCTGGGGAACCCAACCCAAGAAGGACATGGACCCTCTTGAGCAGGTCCAGAGGAGGCCGTGAAGATGATTAGGGGGCTGGAGCACCTAACCTGCCAGAACAGGCTGAGGGAGTTGGTTCTGTTCCGCCTGGAGAAGAGAAGGCTCCAGGGAGACCAGGGAGTGGCCTTTCTGTACCTGAAGGGGGCCGCAGGAAAGATGGGGAGGGACTGTTTGTCAGGGGTTGTAGTGACAGGACAAGGGGTAATGGTTTGAAACTGAAAGAAGATAGATTTAAATTAGGCATTAGGTAGAAATTCTTCACTGTGAGGGTGGTGGGACTAGGATTTGAGACTAGAGGCAGGCATAGTTACTGTATAACCATTAGTAGAAACAGTAGTTTTCTACCATCTTTGGACAATCTGATTTACAGGTGATACTATCGGAATGTTTTAAGAACATGTTTAGTTTATTACGCTATGGAGAGAGATTGAATGTTGATTTAAAAACAAAATATTACTTTGATGGAGGTGATTTCCAGATCCTTTCTTCATTGTCCTATCTAGAGTTTTTTTCCTTTTTCAAGAATTGTAAGCTGTCCTGCATTTTTTGTTGCACTCACTGAAAGGGAAGATGAAACTTTTTTCAGACTTAACATTTATTTATTTAAAGTACTTGAGTGATAGTGTTATTATGCAGAAAGAGTAGGGTTTTGTGTAGTGTTTTTATGTAGTTCAGTTCATTTTAAAGCCAAAGTATTATGGTAATCTTCGATGGGAACAGAATTAGACTTATTTGAAGATGTATTTTTTAGATTCCAGTTTAAATGTACTGTGTCGAAATACAGCTGTACAATACAATACTGTATGTTGGAATACAGCAAGAATCAGAATGGTTTTCTTTACACGTGTTATATTGTCTCATCTCTAGGTCTCTAGGCTTTTTAAGCAGTTTTGATAAAGGCATTAAAAATTTTTAAGCAGATTTAGATTTCACATGACAAGATGATGTGAGGCCTTCGCAGCCAGAAGGTGTTCATATGCATTGCCTAGTAATAGTTTGTAAACTGTTATGTGAAACTTTTCTGAAACTTACAGAATGAGTTATGTTTCATGGTTTTCTCTGTTTATTCTTCTTCCTCCAAGGCCAAGCGGAAAAAGCAAGCAGCTCCAGAAAAGCCTGTAAAGAAACAAAAGACTGGTGAAAGTTCAAAAGGTGCAGCTTCTTCTAAGCAAAGCAGTAACAGAGACGAGAATATGTTTCAGGTAAAATTAATAACTCTTGGAGCCTAGTTAGGGTAACATGTTACATCATGTTCAGTGCAAATTTTATCTGGTGATCTGAGTAATCAGTGTAGTGCTCGGTCTCCTGAAGCCTCAGCCAAAGGGGATGACGATGCTAGCACGCTGATGAGATGCTCAGAAAGAGTGTTGCCATGTTTCAGCAGAGTAAAAGGATCCGAGTTTTAGCAGTTGACCTAACCCTCATGTCTTTGCCCATGGTAACCCTGGGTAGTCATCTTGTTGGTAAATAGAGCACTTGCCATGAATATATACCAACGGACTGTCTTTACATGGAAATGATTTTAATTGAGGCTCTTGAAAGAGAGATTCTTGGAAATTGGGGTATGGACTCTTCATTTCTGTTTACCTAGGTCAAGAGCAGCTTGGCCTCTGTGTTATAAGACAGCATCTTGGAATAAGTTTTGCTTGTTCTTTTGGTTTATGATGCAAGTTTTTCTCAGTGAACATTGAGAAATATTGTAATTTTTCATGTCCTTGTTTTTAAGATGAGATGAATATACATTTTTCAATAGCAAGGTGCATTTGTGAATTTGTATTGCAGTTCTTGGGGTTTGCTGATGCAGTAGCAGTGTTGAAGCTGTGCAAGAATATATGTAGCACAGAATTACCTGTTTTAGTGATTGTGAGTCAAGACTTACTAAATGTCTCTGACTAGCTGGCTGGAAAGGAGCTTAAATTGTTAGAGACTTCGATTCTTAAGTTTGTGAAAGGGTACAGGAGAGGTGCCTAATAAGGTAGCCCCAGCACTACGTAAGGCAAAAGAAATGCTTTTGGACTGTAGCTGTGCAAAGTATACAGGCAAAAAAAAGTCTTTAGAGCAAAGACCTACTTACACTGTAATACATGACAATTATTTCTAGTGTATCAGTTCTCACTTTTCACTTGTAGTTGACAGGGAGAGCTTCAGTTGAAGGCTATGCCTGGACTTCCTTATAGAATGAAGAGTATAATGTCTTCAGTTCTGGGCATGCTTTGAACCATGTAGGAAAAATGAGATAGTGTCTTCTACACCTTATGAGGTGAGCTGCAGTTAGAACTAAAAAAACCCCACCTGTTGTGTCAAAAGCCTTACGCTATGTTTTTAATAAGTTCTGAAATTCCAATCTTTGAGAAAGCTGTTAGTCTTTTATTCCCCCGATGAAAAAAACCCCACAAACAACAAACCCTTTTAAATAAAAGCATTTGCATGCTCTGATTTATTTCAACCTTTCTGAACTAAGATAATAAAAAGTTACTAAAAACGGACAGTAGAGGACTCCTATTAGTCGGATGAGAACAGGATTCTTCCAGTGTTCGGTGTAATACGGAGAAGATACTTGGGTGTCACCTTGACCTAAAACATCAGTGTTACTTATTCTCTGCCTGCCTTTTAGTTAATTGACAACAATATTTTTTAGATTGCTTCTTGTGTTATGTGAAGCATTGTGAGTTCTTTTCGTGCTACATTAGCTTATGTGTGTGAACTAAGACAGAACTGTTTCAGTGTAGGAGCAGCACACTCTAGGTCTGAGGATGCTTACCTGCTGCCCCCCTCCTGCTCGGGAGAGCATTCTAGAAGATCAATTTACATGTTAATTTTTTTTGGATACAGTTTTGTTTGTTTTAGGACTAAGGGTAGTACTAGAAACTCTCCTTTCTGCTTTCCCACGGCAGTGAAATGATCTCTGATGTGCAAGAGACTTTGCTGTATAAGCCGTGTGGTGTCAGTGGTTGGAAATGAGGCTGTAAAGCATTCATAGGATAGTCAGAAGTTCTGTGGTGTCCATGTTGTTTGTGGGAGCTTTAACAAATGATATGAATCTTGTTGTCCTGCTCCCATAGGTTGTGTTCTTAAAGCATACAACTTCCCTTAATATAGAGACAGTATTCAGAAGATGTAGCATTTTCATAAGGTTCAACATTTTGTTACTTTCATTTGGCACTATCATTGGTGTACTGATATTCTTGAAACTAATAATGAGGAATGGTAGAGATGTGTGTGGGAGGGAATTTATTCAGTATAAGAGACCAAGCACCTTTTATTTGTTTACATGCTGTGGCTTTTTTTGCTTTTATATGTAGCCTAGTATACTTGGAAAATGGTTAAAGGATTTGGGTGCGGTTGGGGTGTGAAAATTTTTCTTACTCTCATTTGTGATGTGTTAGTAAAGGCCCTAAGAATAAGCATTATTTGTGTTAATGTGGAAGGGTTTAGTGTTGATACATTAGATTCCTGTTTGTGGCTTCAAGCCAGCGTGAGCTCTGCATCATGTGCTTTGGTTAGTTTGACAGATGCTGTCATCTACCTATGTCTGATTTGGATAAGGTTTGTTAATGCCGTCAGGATGCAGTATTAATGACTATCTAGGGTGGAACCACATCTCATGATCAGGCATTTCACTGAAATTACTGCTGCAAAAGTCGTCTGTCTGTATGTTATCCATGACTTTCTTTTTTATTATTCTTTTTTAAAATTTGTGTTGTATTTGCTTTTTGACTTCAGAAATAAGTTTTGTTTCCCAGTGTAATGTCTCATAGACTCCTGAAAGTAGGTAAATATGTAAGTTTATAATGCTCTGGGAAGTTCATGTGTTTAGCTTATTAATTCTGAAACTTAGGTGGTTACCAATGCATTTCACAATCAATTTGCTTTTTACAGGCCTTATTGTGCTCCTTCTAATGCTATATTTATAGCATACATATAGAAGGATGCTTTTTTTTGCTCTTTCTACTTCCACAGTATGTATATAGGTTTATCAGGACAAACTGGAAGTAGGAGGGAAAACAGTGAAGAAGATGGTTGCTGAAACTCGTACAGGAAGTTGGTTGCACGAAAGGAACCAAGACATGGTTCAGTGCATTTTATTCTGAGAAGCGGAAACCTGAAATGAGTGCTTTTAATGACTTCTGATTTATGTAAAACAATAGGATAGTATCATCTAAGGAGCTGTAATATTTAATAAAAAGCATATGAACCTGCCTGTGAAGGTTGAACTGTGGTAACTGTGTTGCTATAAATCTGTGCAACCCTTGGAACACTACTGTGGTCATAGAGATACAAAGATGTCTTAAATCAGTGAAATTATTCTATGACTGTCAGCTGCTATGTGGAAAAAAAATTGTTCAGAAATGAAACTATGGCAGAATTGCAGGTAGTTGAACATGCAGAAACGTCAGTTTATTTAACTATTTTAATCTAGATTTTGGTTGAGGTTTTTGACCTTATGTATTAGTTGAAACTGTGCTTTAGAAGCCTAACGAGAGCATTTAGCAGTGGCAGCTTTAACATAGAGTTCAACTAAACATTCAAAATTTGATGTGAACGTTCAGCTGAAATCTAAACAGTGAGGTAAAACTTAATGTCAGTATTTTTTTATGGAACTCTCAATTTATGGTAGGCTTACTGAGTAAATTAAAACTTTACATTATTGCCCCTCACCTTAGTGTAGTTGAGTCAAGACATATAGTCTTATTCTTAAAATTCATATCCTAAACTCTTTTATTGTGTTTGCGGCTGTAATTGGCTATATTGTGTCAGATTTTAGTTCTTGGAGCAAATCTGGAATTACTTGTCAATGCACTAATATTCTTTGATAGCCCTGAGGGGGGAAAAAAGGTACTATGAAGTAGTATTCTACTTGAAGCTGTTCTTAGAGGTAGCCTTAAAAGTCACTGAAGTGTTAAAGGGTAAAACCAAGAAATGTTGTTCATGTAGGCTGTTTAGGATATTTGCCAGCAGCGCTGATGGTCTTGGGCATGGTACCAAGGCTGGTCTGAAAACTAAGCTGACATGATATCATGCCTTATTTTTGAATGCTAAATTTGTAGTACTGTGGAAGTATTTAATAAATCAGTCAAAAAATACTGTCTTATAAAGTGTAATGTCTCTATTATAGGATACGTTGAGGTAGGAAAACTGCTTCAAAGCTTACAGTATCTAAAGATGTCCTAAGTTGCTTTGGAGTAAATTTTAGAGTTAATTAATGTGATGTACATAAGAAGGAAAATTACTTTAAGCAAACATAAAGCATTCTTTTTTATATCTGTTTTGTGAAATAACAGCATATGACTTAAATATATGTGGATGGTTTTAGTTTATTGGAGAGTTGTTCAACCTTTCGGGTCAGATTGAATGCTAGTAAGATGTGTTTGTATCCAAATGCAAGATACATAAACTGAAGAAGTTGAAAACTAAAGTTAGTATTTCATCAGGAAGGAATACTCTATTTTACAATTATTTACTGTAGAATGTGTTCTTTCTTCAAAAAGTTATCCAGGAGGTGCATACAGAATTCTAAGAATTTCCTACATGAATTGTATTAGACTGTGGTTTTTATGCTCACTTTGAATTTATGGTAACAAATAGTCCTTTTAATCAAATTTGGAAAGATCTTTAATGCACCTGAATATGTAGTGTCATGCATAGTCGTCAGTGTGACTGCTTCCCTTTCCCCACGTCTCTCTCCCCTTCTCCCAAGAAAACAAACCTAAAAGACACAGTTATAATTCATTTGAGCCAATATGGTGCAGAAATTACAGAATTTCAGTCATTTCATGCTATGCTACATGCCGATAAAGGATTTGAATTTTTTTTGGAATATGTAGTACAGTGAGATAGTCTTTTAACAATAATTCCAGCGAAGTGCCATGAGGACTTGGGAGCAGGCATGGGACAGTTGGTGGATAACTTTAATTTCCATCTCTATTTACTGTGTTTAGAAGAGAAAACAAACAAACAAACAAAACTCCTCTAAAAACTGCCATTTTCTTATGTGAGTATCTAATTTGCTTTCTGTACATAGGAATGGGCTAAAACTTAGATTTCAGAGTAGCT